ATCTTCTAGTAAATGCTATCTCATTTAATACCCAGGGCTGATGCTAGTATAAGGTCTGTGTGACCCAATACAAGCTTCAAGAGTTTAAGTAATTTACCCCAAGTCACAGAGCTTATCAAAGGGAGGGCAAGAATTCACATTCAGCTGCATAAACTCCATTCTGCCTTATTCTGTTGAGCAAGGAAAGACATTTCAGATTTGTAGATTGACCCCGTGAATGGGACTACAGCAATACTAGTTTCCTACTACAAATTTTTTATATCAACTGCAGATGGCAAGAGGGCGGAGGGCAAAAGAAGGTTCTCATTTCTTCTGAAATGAGAACTTTAATCTTTAGTGATCTTAATTCTTCCACATGAGCAGAATTTATGCATAATGATGCAAAATGCTCATGTATACAAATCATCATAAAAGTGGATTACATTAATATCAGGCAGTTCCTAGAGCTAAATGCTTTACTCCCCCCCCCACTCTCCATATTTTGATCCCAAGAATCAAATAATCCAAGAATGTCATAATCCAGTGTTAACCGAATGAGATATACATGAAATTCACAAAAATAACTAAATATTCATATATTTTTAAAGCTATTTTTGAATAAGGGGGTGAGGATGACTTTAGGAAATAACTTCCCACTTTTTTGACTTTTGAAATACAAACCGGAGAGAGTATGTGAAAACAGAATTTGATAGTTTGGGGAAAAGATTTTTCTAAAATCCCTGTGACCTGCTCAGGATATGAAAAGGGTCACACTTATTTATTACTTGTAAACCTACATGCCCACTAGAAGGAGATGTAGTATTTCCTTTTTTTCAGACTTCCCCCACATCTGATTTTCTAGGAACCTTAGATGCTTACTCAGTTCAATGAGGGATCAGTCCTTTTCTAATGTCAAGCCTAGGGAGAAAGCTGGGTTCTGAGCACCTGCTTCTCTCTGCCACTTGGTGGCACTGTTGTAGCTCAGTCCTGCGGAGCTCTGTAGTTGGTTTCCCTCTCTGGAATCATGTGCTTGCTGGTCCAGGTCCTTGTCCAGACTGAAAATCTTCCTTGATCTCCAGAGTAATTGTCCTTTTCAGTTACATCCATAAGCCTAGGCATTTTTGCCCACCTCGCTTCGCTCTGCCTGAGTGCTGCACCTGAACCAGCTTTCCCTGTGTTGGCTTGAGATGTATGTGCTAGTTTGTGTTTCCTTTTCCTAAAGGTAATTTTATTTCTGGTGTCTGTTGCCTTTTCCTGAACCACTGATTGAATCTCAGTGAGCAGCAATGGAGTCCTTGTCAGTTTCTTCCAGAAGACCCTATACTCCTCATGTAAATTGACCCTTCCTTCTCAGTGAGCTGCTTTGCATACCGTTGGTCTCTGGAAGTAACAGTTCTGATACAATAATACAAGATTCTGTTCTGACTCTCCTTGTGCTTCAGTATCACCTATGTTTAAGTAACTCAGGGATCCCAGAAAGCATTTTTTTTCCTGAAGGATTTCTTTTTCCATATCTAAATGGAAGAATGGCTATCATAACTTTAAAATTCATCCGTTCAACAGATACGCTGTTTGATGTCTTGATAGGCACCTTATTGCTGATATATTACGTGACATCCTGGAAAAAAAAACTTGGAGTTTGCAGTCTGAGAAAAATTGGGCTTTGAAGCCTGGCTCCCAGTCATCACTTGTGTGACCTGGTTATTGTTGTCTCAGACCAGGATTTCTCTCCCCTTGCCTCCTGTCTCTGCCTCACTGATCCAACCTCCATGCTGCACTTCCGCAGATTGATTCTAGATTGATTCGTCTAAATCACTGCTCTCTGTAATAGGCTTTAAAAAAAAACCCTCTTGTATATTCCAAGTTTTCTATGTTGATCATGCATACCTTTTGTATTTTAGAAAGAAAATAAAGCAGGGAATGCATAAATAAAACATGATGGCAGACCACACAGCGGTTAGAACTAAATGGCTAACTCTATATGCATCTTCAAGGATAAATCTCCAGATCACTTTGATGAGTGAAAAAAGCATGTTGCAAATATGTTCCGAATGGTTCTATTTATGTTCAATTTCAGACATACAAAGAGTAGAATAAGTTGAGATTTGAAGAATCCAGTAGATAGGTTTTTCCTTTCCCTACCAGAGTTCAAAATCATCACACTCCAGGCACCCCAGGGGGAGCTCTCTGAGTAGCTTCTGAAAGGACCCTTCATTTGGTTTGAGGTGGGGGAAAAGTGCATTCCCTTCCCCTCCTGTATGATGGGATGGGGTGAAGGAAAGCAGAGCACCCTGGCAAATTCCTTTTCTGAAAAGGCCCCGGTTCTTTGATCTCTTCATCCTCAGGAAGAATGAATTGCAAGCCCTTTCCTAAGGCCTCCAGGTGAGTGATGGGGTCATGTTGGCCACCTGTCCTCAAGTCTTAACATACAATATCTATGCTTCGGGACATGGGGTATTTGATAGGTACTTATTTGTAGGTGGTCTTTAAGAGAGATTTCTGCACAAACTCCCAGGCAGTAGGAGATAATGTTGTTAACACACTTTTACATTTCATCAAAGCCCAAAGTTTTGACAAACAGACCCCAGTGACATTCATTCAGTGTTCTTCTGTGCCCAGCCCTGTTCTGGGCACTGAGACGTGAACAAGGCCAGGTTCCTGGCTTTGGGAGTTGTAGGACTGGTTGGAATTACCTTCCTAGTGAGTTTGCTGCAACTGTGCCCTGCAAAAAAGCTAAGCCTCATCACAGGGGTGACTCACTGGGATTACACCGCGTACTTCCCCACTTGGGGCCTTTGCTGTGCATGACCCTCTGCTTGCGGTGACCTTTCTTCCTCTAGTGAACACATGCTCACCCCGAAGACCAGCAGCCTTCATTGGTGCCTGGCCCACTGCATCTCTCCCATTCTGACCCTTGAGACTTCCTCTGTACACCTCTAACCCTTATCCCAGTCAGCCTGGCGTTGACTTGAGCTGTGCGTGTATCTGTCTCCGCAGCTGGACAGGGGGCTCTGTGAGGACTGAGCCCTTGTTTTTTTCATTTCCGTGTTTTCTAAGATGCCTGATGCAGGGACTGCACCTGGTAGAATGGAGGACACTTAAGTGCACCTCTTCCATGAGCTGCCTCCGCTCCTTCTAGGGTGGGTGTCAGGAGGAGTGGCTGGACAGATGTGGGGAAAGAGCATGGGACAAAGCATCATGAGGCCTGGATTTTCCTTCCTGCCCTCTCAGCCTCCTAGTCCCTGGGTGATCACTTGCCCTCTTCAGGCTTCAGTCTTCACTTCTCAGATGGGGGCTCGTGGCTCACGGCTCTCAACACGTGAGAATCCGTTGCTATTTGCTGCGCTTCTTTCAGATCAAACCTCCCTTGCATCTGTCTCTGTCTCTGTCTCTCTCTCTCTCTCTCTTTCCTTCCCCCTGTCCTTCCTCTTAGGTGCGTAATAAACTGAGAGTTTACAGTAAAAGCACAGGAAGAGCTGAATGATGCGTTCTCTTCAGGAAAGTACCAGGTCCCCCAGGTAGCCAGCAACTGCTTCAGGAACCCCGAGCCTCCCTGAGCTTTGGCTCCCGAGGGCTTTCAGTGTAGACCCGGCAACCCACCTCAAGCTTTTGATGTGGCTTTGACAGGACACATTACGCAAGCAGCACTGGTTCAGAGCTACAGAAATGCTTGCTGCTTTCTGCCACCAACCCCAGGGATTGAACAGTGGTAGGGGACAGTCAGGGAAATTGGCAGAGAGCATGAACCTCAGTCACACCCACCTGATCCCAAGACTTCAGGTGGGACCAGCCTCTACTCCACCAAAGCTCTTAAAGAGGGAAACAAACATACCCTTAAAATCTGTGTGCACCCTAAGGAGCCAAGTGGTACTCAAAGGACGTCCCTGGGGAGACAGTACATTGAATAGTCAGCCCCTGAATCTTCAGAAGTGTCTGTGCTCTTATAAAGAAGCAAGGAATCCCCAATGTGTTTATTCATATGTTTCTTCTTAATAGAAATAAAAGTGATGGCAGAGCCTGAAGATACGGTTCTTACTCATGGCTTTCATCCAGTGCATTCATTCTTTCATTCATTCATTCACTTAGCAAAAATTTGAGGACTTATGCTATACATGGCACTGTGCTGGGCATGAGGGACACAATGGTTTTGGGTAGAAGGATAAATAGATAACAGATGTGTGAATATTGATAGGGATATAGACATGGATGTGGGTATAGATGCAGGTGTGGATATGGGTGTGGATACAGATATCGACTGGGCCCTTGCAAAGCTCAGAATCTGGTAATGGGCACAGGCATTATACCAACAGTGGCACCTGTAATTGTGGTAACTGCCCAGGGGAAAAGACTGGTGAGCCACACACTACACTATGGGGGGATCCTGAGTGAGTCTGCAAGGCTTCCTACATAGAGTCATTTGGGAGCTGAGCTCAAGTGAAAGGAGACCACCCTCCCCTAAACCCTACCACAAACTCTGGTCAAACTAACTGTAATGTGGGCTTTGGAGTCAGACTGCTTGAGTTTTTTTCTTTAGAGCTCCGTTATAAAGTAAGTAGTTCTACAGAGTCATCCAGGACCCAGACTCCTTCCTTCCACCCTCCCATCTGCAGCCCTTGACTGTTGCTTTCAGTTACGGGCGGCAGGATGCCTGGCTGCTGCTCCAGTAGGCATCACAGCTAGTTTCAGGTGCCAAGAAAGGAAGGACCAAATGACTAAGGGGGTATTTCCTTTCAAAGAGGTTACCCACGAGTTCCAGCCATGGGATTCTGCCTACATCTCATTGGCCAGAACTGGATCTTACAGCTACTCCTAGTTGCAAGAATGTCCGGGAGGAGGCGAGAGGATTTTAAACTGGGCACTTTGCCTCTTTGAACCAAATCAGAGGAGACTGGGTGGTAAACTAGCTGGGTCTGCCCAAGCTGTAGTCAGTATTTACTTCTTCTTGGCCGTCTGTAACTTTTCCTCACTTTGGGCAACACTAATCAGATTGTCTTTCTTTCTGGAAATGAACCTGCTTCAACGATAGAAGTTCCTGATGTCCTGCCTTCCTGAAACCAAAGGATGGACTTCCAAAACTTGGAATCCCAAGCAAAAGAGATAAAGATGGAAAAACAGTTGGAGTGTGTTCATTTCAAGGTATGGTCAGAACTATTGGTTATTTCCTGCTACTTAGAGCCTGGGACTGCCCACTTTCTGGGTTTTTTTCACACTTGGTTTTTTTTGTCTTCTCTTAGATTCTGTGAACCAGACTCACAGAGCTTCTATTCTTTCTTCCTGGATGCCTTTTACTTAGTGCCTTCTCCCCCCTCCCCATCCCACTGCCTCCTCTTCCCCTCCCCTCCCTCGGCCCCCAGCACCCTGCTCTTCACTGGAAGCTCTACCTAGCAGTCAGGTGGTGGGAGTTTCTATTCCAGGCAGTTGCCCCTATGTCTGTGCCTCTTCCCAACCCCACCCTCTAGACTGCAAACTCCTAGAGGGATCTGGTTCATTTTAGGGTTTCTAGCGCCTAGCATGGTGGTTAGCATGTGGGGTTTCTCATGTGCCTTTGCTGTGGTTGTATATAGGTGCATCAAGGTGCTGGGGACTGTCACAGAACAGACAAAGCAGAAGACAAGACTCTTGTCCTTGGAGAGATTCCTGACCATGTCTCCAGAACATTTCTCAGGATCCCACCAGCTGGACAGACTTGATAAGACCTTATTCTTCAGTAAGTCCTGGTTTATGGAGCCACCCCCCACTCTGTGTCACAACACATTCTTACCACTCTCACCTCTTCCCCTTCCTCCCCCTCCTCTCCTTCCTCCTCCTTCTTTCTTGTCCTCATTACCTTCTTCTTAATCATCATCATCATTATCATCATCATCATTGTTAGCGCATATTGAATATTTACTATGTGCCAGGCCTATTCTAAGTGTTATCGAAGAGGATAAACCTCTTGCCCAAGATTAATTTCATTGCAAGGTTAGGACTCAAACTCAAGTCAGTTTGACCCCAAACCTGTGTTCTTGACCCCTTCCTCTCTCAGCCATAGAGACTCGGGGAGGATGGAGAACAGCTCTAGCCATTCTCCACCTTAACATCCCTCCATGAACTGGACTCTGCAGTGTCCACTGTGGTGCACGCGGGTGCGTGCTGAGCCCTCGTCCTGCAGACCCATGCTTCTCTTCATCTGCACGGAGCCCTCCCTCACACCTACCTGTCTCTACTCTGCTTCACTCACCCGAGGTTCTGGTCCTGCCACATCTTGGTGTACCAGTTATGCGCCATGCTGATGCCTCTGCCATCCATTCTCCCCACCTGAAATGCCTCCCCTATCCACCTGTGCAAATCACATTCTTCACTTAAGACCCATGTCGAGTGTGGAGGCACGGGATCTGATTCGCCCCTCTCCAGACCTCAGCTCCTTCTTCTCTAAACCTCCACAGCACCTCTGTCTTCTTAGGGTCTAAGGAAGCAGCCTGGGGTGGGGAGGAGATAGGAAACCAAGGCCTTAGAGACAGACACACTCTGTGAAATCCCTTTTCAGCCTCTCCCTAGCTTTATGAATAATTTTGGCAAGTTACGTACCCTTTCAGAGTCTCTTAGTAAGAAGGAGATAATAGTGACACCATTGGCTGTTATCATTTCTGTCTAGTCTGCTAGGGTACTCATGGCCCCGTAGCAACTTCCTGGCCTCCTGCTATCTGAGTCCCCCAGCAGCTGGTGGGCAGCACCCTAGACATGAATATCTGCCCCATATAGGATGGAAATTCTACCTCAGCAGCCTTGCCACTGGTTTATACTGGTAGGTCAGATAAAGGGCATTTCAGACTGTGTGGAGAAGTGGAGGATGTATGCACGTACAGAAGGAAAATAACCTCGTTCTAGTTTTGGAATTGCCTCTTACTCGTCGTGTGATTCCATCAAGTCTCTGCCCCTCTCTGTCTCAATTTCCGTCTGTAAAATGTGATAGTGGGACTCAGTCCCTAAGCAGCGTCCACCTGGATCAGCTCTTAGGGTCTGTAACTCTGTCTCAGGGGAGTCAGCTTGGCTTTGGATGCTCCCTGGTGTTGGGGGGCGTGAATTATTAGTGGTGGATCATCCTGCACTAGAAGAGTCCAGGATGTGTGTGTGTCTGTAGGAGTGGGGGGATTGGGACCAATCCAGGGGACTGCTAGGAGGATGTGTGACATCAACCTAGAAAAAGCTGCTGGGAACTCAGCACCACTTGGAATTCTTGAAGACACCCCAGACGGTCTTTATGGACGACCCTAAAGTCAAGCAGTTGGCATTCCCTGAGCACCGGCTGTGCGCCCATGTGACGCTGGTAGGAGCTTTACACTTAAAGCTGTGTTTTGACATGGACAGTTGAGTTCCTCGTACGCTCTGTCTCAGGGTGTAGCATCAGCGATGGTCCAAAGAGCCTCTTTTGTTTTATTTTTATTTTATTAATTTTATTTTCTTCCCTGCACCCTCAGTCCCCTCTCCTGCCCTCCCCCGGCTCTGTCATAGAGATATGTGTATATTTTTTAAATGTGTAGTGTTTACAGTGAATGTGTAAGCTTTTAATTTACCTGTATGATGCCGTCTTATATGTCTTACTCAGTTTCTTCTTCCTTCACTCAATATTTTACTTTAAGACTCTGTCCACTTCAGTGGATGTGTTTGTTGTTGACATTTCCAACTGCTACATAGCTGCTTGGTGTGGACCGCTTAGTACTTCCTGTTCTGCTAGGGATGATAAGTGTGTTGCCTCCAAGTCCCAGAAGCAGTGGGGCAGGTCTTGTCTGCTAGGGTACTCACTGCTTTTTTCCTAGTGCTTTTTTTTTAATTTTATAACTTAAAAAATATTTTTATTTAAAAAATCAGAAATTAGAAGATGTTTGGTAACCTTTGATTCTCTAGTGCTTTGTAAAGGCAGACACTTGGTGCTCATAGAGAGCGTTTTAGGTGCTGCATAGCGTAACTGTTAGCAACATGGAGTTACAGACTGTATTGTATCACAAATGTCCTGTCAGTTTGGTGCTAGTAAGTCATTGCTAGCCCTCTTTGTTCACTAAATTTACCATTTTAAATAGGTCAGGAGCAGGCCTCAGGCTAACATTTGCAGGCAGCACACTCTAGCTGAAATTTAATTACATTGGAAATTCAATTAAAATGTAATTTAGTAAAATCTATTTATTTAAATGGTTCCTTCTGTTTTTAATAAGCAACCTGATTTTCTACTTAAAGAAGTCACATTGCATATATAATAGAATCTAAATGTTGCTGGTTATACAAACATCATTATTATATATTCCATTAAGAAAGAAAAATAATTGTACTGATTAACTATCATACACCACTGAGTATAAGAAGCATGCTGCTTTCAAGATTTTAAAATATGAACAAGCATGCATCTTTTTTTGTTTCCTTTACCAAATAAAGTTATTTAAGTAAAGAGGAGGGTTGATTTAATGGAAGAAAAACAGTAAATAAATGACAATTCTGGTGAATTTGGTAGAAATGAAGGTGCTACTACAGGAGTGACTGGAGTTTGGGAAACACGGAAGTATCTCATGTGGGTGGTCCTCAGACCATGCGCTGCGAGAGAGGGTGGTTCTTCCTGCTTGGCAGGCAGAGAGGAGAAGTGGTCTTCCCCAGGCCACAAGGCTAAGAGTAGATTTATATTCAGGCAGGTATGTCCCAAGTCCCTGCTTTCAAGCCCTCAGAGTCCAGCAGACTTGTGACCTGATTCCAGCTTGGCTTCTCTCCTGCCTGTCCTTTCTGAGAGGCCTTGACGAGTGCCCAGAACACGGCCTATTTCCTTCCAATCATGAGCCCTTCAGAGCACCTGAATGCTTTCATGTTAGCAACCGCTAACACTCCCACCTGAGTATGAATTGCTGCGGTCTGGTACCTTTCTCACCATGGCTACGTTATCAACAGAGAAGGCAAATGACGATGAGTGGACATTTCTGGTACTTAGGCATCCACTAAGGGATGCATATTGAGGACAGAGACTATTCTAGTGATAGTGGTGATAGCAGTAGTAGCAGTAATGCTTTGTTAGTTATAAGTGTTATTTTCATTTTTATTTTTATGTGATCCTGGCCACCATCATGAGTAGGCATTATCCTCATTTTACAGGTGTAAAAATTGACAATGTTAATTTGTCCAAAATCACACAATTAATAATTGGTGAAACTGTAAGTAGATCTGTGAAGGCACTGCTTTTCTGTCTTTTTTTGTATATATATATATTTTATTGAAGTATAGTCAGTTTACAATGTTGTATCAATTTCTGGTGTACAGCATAATGCTTCAGTCATACATGAACATACATTTATTTGTTTTCATATTCCTTTTCACCATAAGTTACTACAGTATACTGAATATAGTTACCTGTACTATACAGTATAAACCTGTTGTTTATCTATTTTATATATATATATATGTGTGTGTGTGTGTGTGTGTGTGTGTATATATATATATGTATATATATATATATATATATATATGTATGTATATATATATTAGTTAGTTTCTGCAAATCTCGAACTCTCAATTTATCCCTTCCCATCCCCTTCCCCGCCCCGGTAACCATAAGTTTGTTTTCTATGTCTGTGAGTCTATTTCTGTTTTATAAATAAGTTCATTTGTCTTTTTTTTTTAGATTCCACATGTAAGTGATATATGTTATTTTTCTTTCTCTTTCTGGCTTACTTCACTTAGAATGACAATATCTATGTCCATCCATGTTGCTGCAAATGGAATTATTTTATTCTTTTTATGGCTGAGTAGTATTCCATTGTATAAATATACCACAGCTTCTTTATCCAGTCATCTGTTGATGGACATTTAGGTTGTTTGCCTGCCTTTCTCTTTTTTTAATTAAACTTTTATTTTGAGATAATTGTAGATTCACTACTGTTAGAAATAATACAGAGAGATCCAAGAGATCTGGGTGTATTACTGGATTGATGATCACTTTCCCTCATTGGGGACATCTTGTGAAATTGTCTCACCATGTCACAACAGGGTGCTGACACTGATGGAATCAAGATGCAGAGCATTTCCATGGATCTGTCCCCTGGTGCTGCCCTTTTGCAGTCACATCCACCTCCGTCTCCTACACCCCATCCCATTCCTGACTCCTGCCAACCACTCATTTGTTCTCCATTTACATATTTTTGTTACTGCAAAGATGTTACCTATATGTTGTTACACAGTATGTAACATTTTGAAATTGTTGTTTTCATTCAGCTTAATTCTCTGGGGGTTCATGCGCCTCATTCAGTGTGTCAATAGTTTGTTCCTCCTACTTCTGAGAAGTGTTCCATGGTTTGTCCATTCACCTGTTGAAGGTCATCATGGTTGTTTCCAGTTCTTAGCTATTACAAATAAGGCTTCTGTGAACAACCTTGCTCAGGTTTTTGTGTGAACGTAAGTCTTCATTTCTCTGGAATAAATGCCTGAGAATGTGATTACTGGATTGTCGGGCAGTTGCGTGTTTGTTTTATGAGAAACTGCCAGACTGTTTTCTGGAGTGGCTGTACTCTTACATCTCTCACCAGCAGTGTATGAATGACCCCATTTCTCTGCATCCTCATTAACATTTGGTTTTGATTAATTTTAATTTTGGCTAATGTAACAGATGTGCAGTTATATCTCACTGTAGTTTTGATTTACCTTTCCCTTATGGCTAATGGTGTTGAATGTCTTTTACGTGCTTGGCTGCCATCTGTA